TGTTGCCTAGAATTGCTTTTGCTATTCTAGGTCTCTTCTGGTTCCAAATGAATTTTTGGATTGTTTTCTCTAGATCTGTGAAATACACTGTTGGGATTTCAATCAGGATTGCACTGAATCTGTATAGCAGTTTTGGAAGTATGGCCAGTTTCACTATATTGGTTCTTCCTACCCAGGAATAGGGGACGTCTTTCCATTTTATTACATTGTCTTTGATCTCTTTTTTCAGAGTGCTGTAGTTCTCAATGTAGAGGTCTTTTGCTTCCTTCATTAGATTGAATCCTAGCTGTTTCATTTTTTTGGATGCTATTATGAAAGGGATTATTTCCCTAATTTCTCTCTCAGTGAGTTCGTTATTTGTGTATGAGAAGGCTATTGATTTTTGAGGGTTTACCTTGTATCCAGCTACTTTACTGTATCTGTCAATTAAGTCTAGCACTTGTTCCTTTTTCATTCTGTCAATTTCCCCCCAACACCCAGCATCAACCAGGTTTGGCACCAAAGGGCAGAACTTAAGCTGCCCAACTGAATGGGATATGAATTTCCCTTGCTCCCTACTCACCTGCAAGCTCTGGAGAACATTTAAGAAGTCATTCATCCCCGTTAGATGCTCTACATCTTGGAAGACAGCAACAAGCAGAGTGGGGATGATAGCAATAGAGCGAGTCAGAATTACTCGGGCAAAACGTGACCATCTTAGGTTCAGGAATCCCTGGAAGGAACCACAGAATCAGGATGAATCTCTGTAACAGGTAAAGACAAAGGGCTGGAGAAGTTCCAGCAGAGACCTTACAAGCATGAGGATTGAGAAATAACAAAGAACTCTGTTATCTTCCTCTATCTGACACCAGCACCTACCTCCATGACAAACTGGCCAGAATAGGTTCCTGTCATAGTGGAGCTCTGTCCTGCAGCCAGGATCCCCACTGCCCAGATGTAGAGTGCGGCAGGCCCAAAGTAACAACCCAGCACAACACCCTGGGAAAGGCAAGGGAGAAAGATGTGCTTGTGTCAGTGATCTGCTTAGACAATGCTTAAAACAGCATTTCTTTGAGGCATATCTACTTCCTCTTTGATAAATACCACCTACATCAAGTATGTGCTGGGCACTGTCCTACACATCAGGCTGAGGTCTTGATCTGATTCTAGCAGTTTTCAATTTCAGTGTTGCTGGATATGCCCTCAATCCTCAGCCTAATCTATTTTCTAGGCTCTTAAAGATTTACCTCCAACCTCCATCTTAATACTGAAAAAACAGAAGTCTATATCACAGCTCCCAAAGTGTACTCCTTAACACACTTATAGGAAATGGCTACTGCAAAAGGTCAAATCAATCTGGGAAAGGCTGTATACTACATGTATGTATTCTACTCTTGTTGAGTCACAATGTAACCAGCATAAGGAGACTGACAGACCTTGGTAAAGAACACTAGGAATATTTTCTTCAGCCACCACAATTAACACCATGTAAAAATATATACTGTCACCAAGAGTTTCCAAATTCCCAGTTTACAATCCACCTTCCCATTGATTCTCTATTCCCTCCCATGCAATAAAAAATGACCAGCTAGCTTCTGGATCTCTAAAATAATTCCTATGTCAGAGGAGATGATCAGATCTGAAGTGAATTCACAAAGAAGACCAGATAACATGTTGAAAAGACTGGCTCAGGAGTATCTATCATAAACTTGAACATGCTTACCCCTTTGTAGATGTCCACAGCCAAGGTTGAGTTATCTTCAGGAAAGAGGCCGGCATAGGGACTGCTGCTATTTTTACAGACATCCACCTAGAACCCAAAGCAGTTTCAGAGCAGCTTTTGTTTTAGAGGAAAAGACCAGACAACAAGAGCTCCCTAGAGCTCATATACAAGTCCTCTAAGGGGTAGGCTGGAGAGAACCCTGGGTGCAGGCTGTGATGTGTTACAGACTGGCAGCAATGTGCTATGTGTGGTCATCCTCCACAGTCTTTCTGTACCCACAGGCCAACAAAAATCATTACTGAGGCTGGGGATTTAGCTCAGTGGTTCTGTCGCCTGCCTTACAAGTGCAAGGTCGAGTGCGATCCCCAGTACCAAAAAAAAAAAATCTTTACTGAGTCAGAATGCACATGGTAATACATAGTGTCTGGGGCATTTTGCATGAGGATGGGAGTAGAAGCCCTTAAAAAGGCCTGAAACATGAGAGCTCAGCATGGGAAGCCCTTAGAAGAAGAGCCAGGAGTCAGTCTTGCTGACGAGAAACAAAGCATGATCAAACCTATACAGTCAATAAGGAATTGTGAGGAAAAAGAATTGGAAGTGACCAAACAAAGCCTGTCCTCATCATAATTTCTGTATTCTATTTACTGATTCCTCCCAACCTATCATTATCCTAAATGGCGAGACTGGCAAGCAGGCAGACAGAAGTTGACACATAGGAAACAAAAGATGACACAGAGTGAAAGAGATGTGAAGCCACCTACACAGGAGCATGAAGCAATCTTGAGTCTGAGGCCAAGTCCCTTTCCAACCAAAAGCTGGGTCAGATGAGACCAGCCCTTGCCAACACCCAGATTGTATGCTCTCACAGGTGCACAATGACGTGAGGCAGTGTTGACCCTACAGATCCATTTCTCTTGGGTTCCAAGTCATTGTTGTATTTCCTGTCCCACTGCAGCCTTCATTTTTAAAAAATAAATTTTATTTTATTTTATCTCATTCCCCCCTCAGCCCCCCTCCCCTTCCTAGCAACCTTCATTTTACCCTAACATCCACAACCACCCATGACCCTGGCTTACTCACCACTTGTTGGTTGGTTTTCTTAAAAAATGCTTCAGCGAAGACTGAGACAACAAAGACATTGATGATGAAGGAAACAAACAGAGCAATGCAGGATTCAATAAAAAAGTACTTGTTGGCTTCTCGAACTTCCTGGTTATTGGCCCGGTTTACCTGTCTAGACTAGAGATAACAGAAACAGTCATTTTCTGACCAGTCAGAGCAAGTTTCCATGGACAATTCAGGACTTTGGAGTACAGCTGACTAGACAGATCCAACACTCACCTAAATCCTAGTTCAATAAGCAAGTCCATACCCTCGGACAACATTGTACATTTCCCACACAGGGCCCAGTGACTGAGTGACTACTGAACTCTTAGTATTGTGGATCGAACAAGCACTGACCTATAAAACCAAGCTGACTGAAGTCCTGAAATCGCCCAGTATAAGATTCCCTGGTAGGGCTGGGGATTTAGCTCAGTGGTTCTGCCACCTGCCTTACAAGTGCAAGGTCCTGAATTCGATCCTCAGTACCAAAAAAAAAAAAAAATTCCCTGGTAAAGCTTGGTTGGGCTCCGTTACTCTTGACCTGTACAAGAGCACTCAAAGATTTTCAGATTTAAGAACAAGAGACTTAGTGTGCTTTCAGACCTTTTATGAAGAATTTTAGCCCGAGCTTACTTGTGGGGTCAGTAATCCCTGATCAATTTAGTGACTAAAAATACAGAATAAGCATGTGGAGTTTATAAATATCCACTCTTAGAAAATAATCTTGCCCCTTCAGGACTCTAAGTGGTATAAAGCTACAGCTGTATCCCTGGCAACTACAGGGAAAGAAGATGCCATGAACTATCCAGGTTGTCACCGAGTTAAGGGCCTTACTCACCTTGACTAAGGCAGAATGTAGATACATGTTGTGTGGCATGATGACAGCTCCCACGATGCCCACAGCCTGTTCAATCTGTGGGGTGTGACAGCCAGAACAGGATGGCACGAACATGCCCTTGAGTACCTGGCTCTGGTTGGGTTTCACTGTAATATACTACATACCAACATACCAACTGTTAGCCTTTATGGAACTTGAGATGGGGGAAGAACACATCACAAAGGAAACATAGGACTTCTTTATTCCCTACCAGTTTTTCTCCCACAAAAACCACCTGCAAGTAATAGCCAGTTGCAGTAGCACATAGCTGTAGTCCCAGATATTGGGAGGATTAGGCAGGAGGATCACTTTAGCTTAGGAGTTTAAGGTTAGCTCTGGTAAAAGAGTGAGAGCCTGCTTCCTTAAAATAATAACAGTGCTGGGATATAGTTCAGTGGTAAGCATTTGCCTGGTGAATGCAAGGCCCAGGGTTTCAAGCCCTAGCAATAAATAAATAAATACCACTAAGCAACCCAAAGGGCTTACTGCTAGGAATCAGAAAATTCAGGACTATCTAGATATTTCTACCTCTCTCTCTTTCCTTCTTTCCTCCCTTCCTTTCCTTTCTCTTTCTTTCTTGTGGTACTAAGAATTAAACTCAAGGCCCTTATACTCTGCTACATTCCCAGCCCTTTATTTTTTATTTTGAGATAGGGCCAATGAAATTATTATTCTAAAAATGAAATGGATGCTAAAGGCCTTATTGTAACTAGCTTCACATTAACTCATAGTATACAGAATCAATTCTTGATTATCCACACTTATATTTCTCTAGTAACCTATGTACACCAGAAAAATCACTTATCAAAATGTATAATAGATAATGTGAAATAGGAAGAAAATGTCCAAAGGGGAAGGGGAAGTGGGAGGCGTAGGGAAAAGGAAAGAAGGGAAAGGAATAAATATGAGAAAAGGAAAAAACGGAAACAATGTTTTAGTAAATAGAGAGGGATGGAGGGGTTGACAGGAGGGCAGGGGAAGGGGGAAAAAAATGGAACCGAGATATATCATGTAAAGGTACAAATTCCCAGTGATGAATGTCATCATACTGTATACCTAAAATGTACCGATAAACTTCATGAAAAAAAAGTTCCTAAAAAAATCATTTTTGTTTCCCACTCATATCAAAAACTCACTCATAAAAATTTTTATACACTTTTTCCTGGTTCAGCATTTCTCTTGGAAGCCTCGGGCCAGCCTACATAATCTAATCATAGATTAGATAATAGTTTTTAAAGTTTAGCCAGGCCAATAAACACACATTAACTTATTACTGGACACAAGAAGGTGTTATTACTACAAACAGTGATACTAATTCTTAAGGGTGTTTAGGTTGGGGAACAAACCAGGGAATATCCATTCATCATCTATAATTTATCAATTGTTTTAATACAGGGAAAGTTCAAGCTACAATTAATATAAACTATGATAAGCAAAACCAGAAACATTTTAAATTAGCAGCCAAGAATAACTGAAAAAACAGAACCACCCTAAGATTACAGCCAAAAATAACCCTTCAATCTACCTAGACTTCTCCAAACTGTTTGGGTGTTATAATGGCCGCGCTGGGACTAGGGCATATAGACTGGATAGAACCACCAGAGTGTCTAGTCATTTTTGGCCTAGGAATCTCTGCAGGCCTTCAAATATCCTAAATGTTGCCGTAGGTTATATTCCTCCAATCTCCACCCAGAGCTGGGCTTCTGTTGACACGTGTGATAAAATGAAACCACTCTAGCACTATTGCTGTCTTTTTTTTTCCCCAAGTATTGGGGGTTGAACCTAGGGCCTTTTCACTAAGCTACAACCCCAGTCCTTTTTTATTTTGACATAGTCTTGCTAAGTCACCCAGGCTGGATTCAAACTTATGAACCTCCTGCCTCAGTCTCCGTGACTACTGCTGTCTTTTACAATTAAAGGCTAAAAACAAAACAAAACAAATAATCCTGTTGTAAAAAGCCAATGAAGAGCCAGTAACACTTGCCTCATAGCCAAATGTGAGGGCCATGATAGTGATGAGAAAGCCAAAAAATGCTTCTAGCTTCCGCAAGCCTAAAGAGGAAACACAGCAGTGAGCTTGTAGCCAGCAGCCACATGAAGGAAAAGCAAAGTGGCTCCATTCATTGTCCTTGCCCCATTCCCACTCTCCTTACCATATTTGTCCAAAAAGAGAAAGACAAATGTATCTGCAATGGTGATGAGAACTCCACCCCAGAGAGGAACCCTAGGTTAGAGGATGGAAATGCAGATGAAAGGAAGGCAACAGTGAAAAACAGCACCCTCTTCCCAACCGCTCTCCTGATACAGAACCCTTGGAGAAGACAGGACCTGGGGGCAGAGAAAAAACTTTGAGAGGATCATAATAGGGTAACTGAGGATCATAATAACACCTTAAATATAATCATTCCAACTTTGATTCAGTGTGTGCTATGTCAAACATTCAGTGTACAAAGCTGAAAAATATGGGTCTTATCATCAAGGAGCCCACTATCGAGTGGGATAAACCGACACATAAATAAATAAATATAATACAAACTGCCACACACACCATCACAGTCCAATGTACACCTAACTACAGACATGGAAGATGTAGAGACACGTGCTAGTGGAGAGGGAGGTAGTTCCTAAAAGGCTCCAAAGAAGAACTAATATTCAGTTGAATCTTAAACACTAAATGTGTTAGGTTTTTGTTTTCATCTTTCTTTGAAATCCAGCAAAACACTGTCAACCCCCTCACCTTCCTACAGACAGGAGATGGATGGCGATGGCCGAGCCAATCACTTCCTGCATATCTGAGCCAATGATAGCCAACTCCACCATCAGCCACAGGATGATTCGTGGGACCTACACAGAAAATAGTAGGAAGACACAGTTCTGATTATTCATTTCTACGAATTTCCTCTGTCGTTTGGAATTCACATTTTGGCGCAGACCTCTAGACCTGGCCCAGAACTTGGCCCCATTTGGCACTTCACTGCATTGTGGCCCCCAAAGGAAGAAGGAACATGTTCTTCCACATAGTGGAACCTATGAACACCAAAGTAAGCATGGCAACTGACCTTACTGTTTTTTTCCTTCCTTCCCACTCAAGAGAGGAATGGAATTTCCATTTACTAACTTCCTCTTAATTTCTTTCCTAAAATCAACCCTACACATTTTGGGGAAAATAGTTATACCGAGATTAGGAAATGACTGCAAAAGAAAACATCTATCCTGATCATAGCTGAGGTAAAAAAAACAAACAGGGAAAGGCTGGGGTTATCTTTGGGGGGGGGCTGGGGTCATCTTTAATATAATAATAATATGCATGCAAGTGAAAAGAGACAGATATGCAAAAGGATTCAGGGTAAAGTAGTTGAAATCGGGTGGGATATACCAAAGCAGGTAACTAATCTAGACAAAGCCTAGTTGAAAGACAAATTTAATGGTAGCACACTGAAGTCAGAAAAATCACCTCCAAAATAATCCTTAACATGCATGAAGAAAAGAGAAAGTAAAAGAAATCAGGGCTGGGGATTTAGCTCAGTGGCAGCGTGCCTGACTCGCAAGCATAAGGTCCTGAGCTCAATCCCGGGTACTAGGGTGAAAAAAGGTAGAAGAAATTATAAATTAGCAAGAGTTTTGGTTTTCTTTTGGTACTGGGGATCAAACTCAGGACACTGTGCTTGTGAGGCAGGCGGTGGAACCACTGAGCTAAATCCCTGGCCCTAGCAAGAGTTTTTGAAAACCACATACAAACACTTTATGCTCATAGCCAGAAAAGGAGATTACATATTTAGCTATGCAATACCTATACAGGTGGGTCAGAATCTCATTAAAAAATCCTTTCCATGGTCAGGCATGATGGTACACACCTGTAAACTCGGCACTGAAGAAGGCTAAGGCAGGTAGATCACAAGTTCAAGTCCTGCCTGGGCAATTTGGTGAGACCATATTTCAAAATTAATAAAAAAGTGGGGCAGCTTGAGATGTAGCTCAGAGTTAGATTGCCCCTGGGTTCAATCATTAGTACCACCAAAAAAGAAAGAAAGAGAGAGAAAGAGACAGAGACAGACAAAGAAAAGAAAGAGAAAGAGAGAAAGAAAGAGAGAGAAAGAGAGAAAGAAAGAGAGGCCTTTCAGAATGTAGCTCAGTGATAGAGCACTTGGCTGGCCCTGGTTTCACCTCTAGCACTGCACTGAAAAAAGAAAAAAAAGTCTTTCAGACATAAAAAAATTGCATTCTTACATTCCTACCTTAGGTGGCAGTAGAAAGAACCAAAATACCTAGGAGGAAGCTGTAGGGAAAGTGTAACCTCAAGATTACAATAAATTGAAAAATAATTAGCAACTCCAAAGATCCTTCCACATAGAGTAAAAAGATAAAACTTACCTTTCGAAAGAGAGTGCAAAGTCAAACAAAAAGAAGATATATCAAATGGAAACTGATGCAGTAACATGAATAAATATATGTATAAAAGTCTTTGGAGGGCCAGGGATTTAGCTCAGTGTTGCCACTGCCTGCCTCGAAAGCACAAGATCCAAGTTCAATCCCCAGTACCAAAAAACAAAAGTCTTTGGAGAGAAAAACCCTCCCTCATAGATGAGCTGGACATTGGCAGATGCCAGAAGGTAGGGTGAATGGAAAATGCTTACTCACAGAGGATTCTTCTGATGAAACTTCATGGGAAAAAACAAGTCTCAAGTTAGATTTGGAGGGAGGAGGAAAACATGGCTTGGCAGCAAGAGGGACAGATTTCCCTTGGTACTCCCAGGCTTCAGGGCCACTAACCCCAAGTCCCCCAACGTCAGTATACAGTAGGGTCAGCACACATGGGCTGACACACAGATTCCCCTGGGAGGGGGAGAGACACAAAGAGGACAGCACGCGGCTCACCTTGGGATACTGACGGTGACAAACTTCAGCAAGGTGCAGCCCGGTGACCACTCCCAGTCTAGCTGCAAGGCGCTGGAGCAGCAGCCCTACAATGGTGGCCAAAAGAAGGACCCAGAGCAACTGAGAAGAAAAAAATCCCCAACCCCATAACACTCATTAGACAACTGGGTTTTTGTTTGGTCGTTTGATATTGCAAATGGGAAACACAACATGAAGGAAAAGCCCAGGTCAGGAATGCAGTGAGTTTGGTATAGGCTCTATACACGACCAACTAGGTTCCTTGTACCTTTCAGATTGTCAAAATCTCCAACAAAAGAACTCACACACAAGCGGACCTGTGCAGTCCAACCCACATTGTTCAAGGGCCAACTGTAAGTACTTGTACTCACTGCAGCTGCTAGCCACTACCAGGATAGAGAAAAGGATATGAGGGTGAACCGCGTGTGTTTAAAAGGGTAGGGGTAGACTAGACTTTCACCTTAAATCCAGCCACTGCTCCAGACTGCAAATCAGATTCGATGTTTCCTGGATCCAGATAGGCAATGCTCATGAGAAAGCCTGGTCCCGTGAATGCCCAGAGTTTACGAAAGCTGAAACAAGAGTACTACACAGGAGAGGAAAAGAGATCAAACTGAGTTTCACCTAATTTATTTGTTCTTTTAGCAATAAAAAGCAGCAGTATCAGCTTTATAAGAACAAAAGATCAGGGCTGAATTTTGCCAAGTGTCCAGTTTTCTCTTCCATAGCCATTTTTCATTGACAAGCTGGCCATTTCTCTGTCTATTTAGGAGCCCTTCCCTGCCTGTCATTTCCATCAGCATCTCACCTAGGACCAGAGAAACCCAATCAGTACCTCTGTGTCCAACCACATGGAACAAGACCCATAGTTTAAAAAAAGAAAACACGAAATCCCTAATTCCCTGATAAAAAATGCTAACCAGTCTCCCCGAGCAGCTATATTCAAGGTCCTCATCTTTCTGAACAGTTTATTCTTATTATAAAATCCCATTTTCAGAGGCTGACTGTCAAAATTAGACCTGGAGCTATGGCAGTGGAGTTGTCTAACTGATCTTCCTTTCACAGGTTTCAGCAGGCCGTAGTTCCCCTCTGTGACCCGGCACTAACCTCCTCCTCAGGAATGGCAATCTTATCGTCAAAGTAGGTGGCAAAAGGCTCCTCTGCATGTCCAGTGGACTGTGGAAGGGATGAGTTGCTACAGGCAGAGCTGATGTCATCAAGACTGGCAGAATCCCCATGATCTCCAGAAGCATTTTCTGAATTAACATGTTTAAAGAAAAATTAATAAAAATCTTTTTTTTTTTTTTTTTACCCGAGATCAAACTCGGAGTAATACTGAAATTAAAATGTTTTGCTTTTGCAGTCCTGGAATCAAACGCAGAGCCCTGCTGTCCCCCGTTACTCAGCACAGGATCAGTTTAACACCAATCTTACAATGGTTTTGCTACTCCATGCTTCCATTTCTACTTGGTCATTTTTATTTTTCCTCTAAAAACACTGACATTTGTGGCTCAAAATGTAACACTGGCAGTCCAGCCCCACTGGTAACCTAAAATCTTGCCTTTTAAAAGAAAAGAAGCATGGTGGTGCACACCTCTAATCCAAGCCCTCAGGAAGCTCAGGCAGGAGGATCACTGCAAGTTCAAGGCTAGCCTGGGCTATACAGAAAGGCCTTGTTTCAATAGATAGAGAGACAGATAGACAGACAGACACAGATAGACAGATAAGACAGACAGACAGATGTTAATCTCCTAGAACACCCCCACCCTTACTGTATTATAGGACTTACTCAAAGAGCTGTCCTTGTACGTTATACCTCCATCAGGCTTCTCAAAGTATGCAGAAGTTGCAAAACCCTGCCATAGTTCAGAGCAAAATCTGATACTGCAGGGAAACCACAAGCAGGAACACTGTGTCCTAAGACCTATACTGAAGAGCAGCTTGTCACAGGGTGCCAGCATCTCAGTCTGGTATTAGTGTTTCCTTTGAGACCTGCTTTTTACAGTTAATATTAAATGCAGGAAGGGGAAACTCTGGAAGAAAAAGGCTAATGCACTAAAGATACACAAAGTCCACTTTGCTGCAGGCATCATATGGGTGTACTGAACCACAAAGCTCTAGTCTCTGTTTCCCACAAATCCTTACAACCTCCCACTAGAAAAACAAGTTTTGTTTTTATAGTAAGCTGGTCCTTATCACCTCAATTGAGTGGACCTAAGTTGCTGAGGAAATTTAATATAAAAAGAATGCAAATTCCAAAGGAGAAGCTCAGATTAGCTCAGGAAAGATTAGTCAAAGCACTCGAAGAGCTGCAATAAAATACAGAGTATATAGGACTTGCCTTTACTTTACTGTTCTGCACATAACTGAAACATCAGAAAGTGTCATAAGCAGGAAATGTGCTCTGGAGATTACTATATCAAGTGTGAGACAAGTACTGTCCTTTTAACATTACTGCTACAGAAACCAAACCTGAAGCTAAAATCTGAATTGGAAAGGCAGGGCTCTGTAGCTATAAATCCATTTTCATTTACAGTTTAAGTTACCACATGTGACTTCTGAATGTAGTTGTTGAGCAGACAAGAAGTAAAATATGATAAATTTCTGCCTAATTCCAAAAAAAAATCAGACAATACTAGAAAGGTATAAGTTACCATTTGACATCTTCTGTTCAGGACCCAATACCATGGTGGATACCTGGGGGCCCACGTCCTTAGAATAGGATTCTATAAAGGAGAAAAGGAAGAATTAGGGAAAATGAACCAGCATTTTGTTACTTGGTCAGTGAACCTTACTGTATGAAAAGAATGATTCTACCATTGGATTAGACAACCTTTAAACAATTACAGCTTTCAGAATATGATTAAGATATACTTAACAAAAGTCAAAAAGTCTTAATCATGTTTTTGATGGCATGACTCCAAAACCACATTGAGGGAAAAGGTATTAAAGTACTACAGGCAAATCCTTTCTAATAAGCACCCATAGCACCCCTTTAATAAGCTAGGCAATTACCCAGTCTCTGTCTTTGTCTGCAGATTACCCAAAATGTCAAAAACAAGACTAGTCTGCCTCAATGTCACAAGTTTTTTAAGGATAGAGATCTATAATTGTCTTTGTTCTACCTAACAGTGTAAGCTCATAGTTCAGTCTTCTGGGAAGAAAAGAAGAAAGCACTACACTGGTAGTGGAAGGTCACTGTTTCAGTTTCAAATTCCTGAGGAGAGACTTAGCTATATGTTGGTCTCATTCCCTGACACTCTGACAACTGAGGAAGAAATGAATTATCCATGGCCCAGTCCCTCCTGGGCTCTGAAGGAAAGCTGAGGCACCAGGAGGTCCAGGCCTGCTCTGCAGACCGGCACTTCTCTAGGTGCTGTCACAAGCGACCTGTGTGGTAGGGCTGGGAGCAGGGTAGCCCACGTATCCAGCATCATGCTGGTTAAATTCACTTCAGGAGAGCAGGGGATATTAGCAAGCCCATCTGGCCACAGATTACAACACATTCTCTAAACAGCCTTGCCAATAAGGCTAAGTTTTAAAATTTCTATCTGCTATTATCCAATCTATTTCTCAGGTGACTGCAAACCTAAAAGGGAAAGGGTGGTCCTCTATGTATTGACTGATTATGTTCCCCTTCAATATTCACAGTAACCATCCTACTGAAAAAGTGAAAGAGCCTCCCCTCTGCTATCTTTCACTGCTGAAATATGCTTTGTTTCCACTCTCTGTTACTCCTATCTGAACAGTTTCTGCTTTCTTTTTTGGATAGTCTATTTATCAACATATTCTATACCAATCTTATAGAATTCCAGTATCCAGAACTGAAAGGGGCTTTTAGGATTCATAAAACACACCACACCTACCTGCTAATTTGGAAAATCATCTTTCCCCTCCACAGTCACCAATGAATGCCATTATATCACAAGGGGCAACTGGTCATAGCCCTTCTGTCAAGCTTTAAGCCACCAGGTGGCTAAACACAAGCCCAGAGGATCCAAAAAGACTAAATCCAATCCCTCTTTCAGCCTTTCACAAAGCCCTCACCTAACTGGGATTAATACATTTGGCTTCTCACTTGGATTCCAATCATAGTGCAGTCCCTTGACACCTTTAACTCTTGTTTTAAAAGTAATTCTAGGGCCAGGGATTTAGCTCAGTGGTTCCACCGCCTGCCTCATAAGCACAAGGCCCCAAGTTCGATCCCCAGTACCAAAAGAAAAGTGCTCACTTTGGCAGCAGCACATATACTAAAAGTAATTCTAGTAAGCCAGGATATCAGGTTATCTTAACCCATAATGAATTAGAAACCAAAACTCAGATCCAAGACTATGGTTCTTACAACAAAAGGCGGACTTGGCACACTGAGGAATGAGAAAAACTCAAGAAGCAAACTGGTTAGCTTTGGACCATTTGGTATGAGACACAGAGCCCTTCCTTATACTTCAGTCGGTTCTGAAAACATTTGTACAAGTACAATAACACCCATAACTGAGGAAATTGGGCTGCTTTTATAATGATGGTTGATACCCTGTTTACAAAAGCACAGAAACGGTGCTTAACAGATCAGTAAAGGGCTTCTGAGTGTGAGAAAGAAAAGAGAAAGGGAGGCC